TTTTACTCTACCTAAATCCTTCATTCTAAACTTATTAGATAACTTGTTTTTAATGTCAACAATAATTTGTTTATCTTTACAGCAAATCAAAAGGTCATCAACAAATAATAAAATGTAAATTGTCAAATCATTCTCTTTTTTAACATACAGGCAATAATCATATTTACTCCTGTAAAAATCAAGAGTAGTCAGAAAGTCATTAAAACATTCATACCATGCTCGAGGACTTTCCCTTAATCCATATAATGACTTATTCAATTTATAAACTCTATCAGTACCATCTTCATAACCAATTGGCTGTTTTACATAAACTTCAGACAAAACTTTACCATTTAGAAATGCTGTTTCTACATCCATTTGATGAATATTTAAAGAATTTTGACAGCAATAANTTTTGGATAATTTCGTAAGCCGTATCAAGTTCGCTTATATATTCTAGCTGTTTGTTAGTTATTCCGCTATAGATATAATTAGTCGCCTGGATATCTCGTTCGTCCCATTCGTCATCATCGGTCTTAATTTTAGCTCTCATTACTACATCTTTACACTTTTTGAACTGTAAAAACTTAAACATACGTAATTTCCAGTTACTGTAATCTGCTCCGTCAAATATTGGTATATTGATATCACTATTCTTCGCCGCCATTACCACGTGTGCTCTTTCTTTGTTTTCTTTAATTATTTAACTCTTTTCGCTTCTTGTTTTTTTTTTTTCCGTTCTTTTTTCTTTTAACCACGCTCTGCTACCATGTTAAGACAAAAAATGAAGCATTACCTTTCGTTTTCTTTTGTTCTTTTATTACTTAACTTTACTGACTAGCGGAACTTATTTACAACATTTCAAATTGACGAACCTCAGACGACAGAACACTTTTGCCAGTGTTGCCAGATATAGCTGTACAATAATTAACAATGTTAAACTTAACCATTCAGTAGTAAGGGATGGATATATCCATCCAGGGTGATTGTGTGGCAGTGGCGAGGAACGGATATATCTGTTAAATTCTTTTGGGGGTATCGCCAAAAACTACTGCAAAAAAAAAATTCACCTAAAAATGAATTATGTAACAATAAAAAAATACTTTTCTTTACTAGACACATAACTGTTTACAAAATCTTCTTCTGAAATGGTAATGAGAAAAAATGTGCAGAAAAATACTTCAAAAACTTCCCACATTTATTCTCCACTACTTTGGGATAGCACCATACCTGACTATTCCACTGTTGAAAGGTTAATAGATTGTTCATCATTTGTTTTCTAATTCATTTTAAGACCAGGTGTCTACAGAAATTTCCAAAATTTACGACTTTTCAGTCAGTCACTCTCATTGAACTGGAAAAAGTTCTGTCTTTATTACATCTAATATTATGAAGAAATCAGTCCCCACTATACTCGGCTAGAGATTGGTTTGGTTAAGCTTTTGTTTAAGTAAAATTCTGGCTCGTTCAGCAGAGTTTTATTTATGTCCCTAATTCTCTAATCTCTAAATTATTTAACTACTTCTTAAATAGAAATAAGTTGAAATTGGTTACTTTGTACTTAAATAGACTTGTGAAAGAAGTGGAACGACAAATTTTTATGACAACAGATACATAAATTGTAAATTTAAGAAAAATAAATTCTAGAGCTTTTTTTGTACCTTGTGCATTTCATTCATTACATTTAGTTGTAAATGATGCTGCCAAAGTAACAGTTAATTTTTTAACATTGTACAAGAATTGTACACGTTTTTTTCTGCATCCCCTTATAGATGGGAAACACTAAATAGTAATATCACTAGTTTAACATTGAAATCTGTAAGTAATACAAGATGGGAGAGCAGAATAAATATATCAAATATTTTAATGGATTTTTTTAAACTCCTGTCAACTATACAGAATTATAATAAAAACATACCAGTAAACTCCTATCGGTGGGTTAAGTTATAAATCTACTCGTGATTCACATAATCGGGCGAGGGAGGCCAAATATCTAGCATGCAGGTTGCTAACAGCCCAGAATCGGTCCTGCATAGAATCAGTGGAAGCGTTATACAATATTATGGTGTGTAGCTTTCATCAGCTAAACTGCATGAGATTGGTGGTCTGTAAAGTACATGTGTATAATCTGACTGCTTTATACTGTAAAGTACTATATTATTTTTCCGACTTTCCAACGATTATTGACACTATTGTGTGCCGGAAATAGCCGTTCCCTAACGGGTACTTTACGCGGATTCGCGTTAGTGTGCCAGGCCTGGACTTTAAGCGTGCACTGAATTAAATAATGACAAAGTTTGTCAATAACAAAATCAAATATTTAATTAAACTTCTATATACAGTATTTAGTAAAAATCAAACAATAATTTATTCAATGAAATTCAACAAGAATCAATCCGACAACTCAAATCAATCTATTTCTAACTTAATTCTATTCCCCTTTGGAATTCGACAAAATCAAAGAATTAACTTATAAACAATAATTCTTATAAATTAAAGATCCTAATCGTCACCTCAATATACTAGGAACCTATTTCCTCAAACTCTCAAGACTTTCTATAATCGTCGATCCACAAATCGAATAACTTCAAAATCCTATCGGACACCTCTCTCGTTCACTGCTACGAAGCTCACCAAAGCTCGTTGCTATCAGGAATTCACCTCGTTCGTTTTCACTTGAGTTAGAGGCTTTATAGTGTGAGGTGACGTCACAATTCTGAATGAGCTCACTCTCCTCATTTACATACTTATCTGTAACATTAAATTTTTCTTGTTTATCTGGCAGATTATTTTCCGACAATACTTCGCTAACCTTTTACATTATTCTTTTTAACAATTATCGGGATGCTTTATTCTTTTAAGGTTTAGCGATTCCTAACTGGGTTGTGGGGTCTTCCCCCCCCTTTTTCTCGGTGCGGACTTACTTTTTTCCGCTTGGGAAGCGCAAGTGTGCGCGAGTTTTTCTACGGCGCTTTTCTTTCGTCGGTGAGTTGGTTTTTCTTCTATTTTTAAGTTACTAAGGTGAATGGTGAGGAAACCTTCGTCTTAAATAAACATAAGCCCCAAACAAAATATAATGAAAGCAAAATAAAAGTAAAATAAAAATAAAGCTCAGACTTGGTTCCTTACAATACCATTCAAATATTTTTGCTGTGGAAGCTGTCCCGTATTCAACAATACAGCAGTTCCATTGGGAATACAGCGCTTCCATTCTGCCACTGATATTCGAATATACAATAGCAATCTTATCTTTTTTTTATATGTAGTATAGAAATTTGTAATAAGATACATAATGCGATTATAATAAAATATTAATTTTAATTAATTCAAAGTACATTAAAATATAAAAATAATTTATAAAAATATAAATACAATATATATTTATATTTTAGAAAATACAAGGGAAACAATGCTTCCACCGCTTCCAAGGACGGCATGCCACTGCAGTACCAACAGTAATGATCCAGTGACCTTGTCTGGTGGGTTGCAAGAAATTCACATACAGTAGACCCCCTATAAAATGGGTTCCTATAATTACGATTCCTATAAGACAGTGAAAAAATTGCGACGGTATCCGTAAAAAACGGTAAAAAAACTCTTATAATTACGTAAAACGTCATCGGGCAGCCGAACTACTTTCCGTGCCGTCAAGTGCCATGCTACGGAGAGATTACTATCGTCTGTACAGTATTATATATAAATTAGGTACTGTACATATAATTATCAATATATATTAATTATATATAAATTAAATATTGTATATATAATTATATATTAAGTATATATNATATGACTGCTACATCTCAAATTTATTTAAGTTTGGTACATTAATTTCTTATTTCATATTTAATATGAAACATGAATAGTATGAAGCTTATCTAATATACCATGTATTTTCAGTACTGAATTCATATGACATCATGTGATAATTATTACCACCACTGAAAATCAGAAACTTTTATAAAAAGTGTAATTTTTAAAAGCATTAAAAAAATTATCATTTATATAGAATAGTATTAATAACTGCAGTGACAAATATTTTTTGTTTAAAAAAGTAATTTTGTAAAATATTTTTAGTCATATCAAATAATGAATCAATACAGAAAGTTTTGTTTTAAAAGAATTTAAATTTTTGATGTTCTTGTATGTCCTATTTTTATAAAGAGAATGAAATGGTAAGAATCTTCATATGCTTAGTTACTTGTAATGGTAATGATAATGTTGAAGTTAGTACAATTAAGTTATAGTTCTAACTCTACCATTGTCATTCCTTTTCTTCATATAACATGGAATGGATTTTCTGACAGGCTGAAACCTAGGATGCCAAACATTTTAAAAGCACCAAGTTATTTTTCTTGTAAAGAAAAATAACTTGGTGCTTTTGATATATAACTTGGTCTTATATATAACTTTTGATAATAACTTGGTCTTACAGATATATAAATATTAATATAATTTTAAAGGCAATAAATATGATTTTAGTTAAATTTTTAACAGTAATTTTAAGGCATATTATTATCTGAAAGAGTAAAAGTTATAGCCTAGAGGCAAACGAAATATTAAATCTGCTTCTGATAANATCGGTTAACGAACAATTCGGATAGCGAACAAAGCCTGGGAACGGATTATGTTCGTTAACCGATCACCCACTGTATTTGATTAACATTTTTCAAAACTACAGAACCTCAATTATCCAAGGTAATGTGGACTGCTGCTATCTCAGATAACTGAAAATTCAGATAAAACAGATATCCATGGCTAATTAGATTAAAAATTACAAATATAAAAGATTTATATGGAATATTACTTTTAAATCCCTTTTTAGGGTGTCTATCAATGGGCAAAACTGAAATTTAAAACAGAAGTTTTGTTTCTTAATTCTTCACCAGTGATAGTGTAAATTTTACACAATTTTATAAAAACAACAATTTGAAACTACTACACTAAAATGACCATTTATGATAGAATATTAGCATGTATATAATGTGTCAAGTTAAATTTTTTAAAATTTTAAAACTTACCTGAATCCATGGAATGATATAAATAAAATGTTAAATGACCATCATGATCTTCATTCTGTGAAAATATAAATATTAATATATAATATTAATATTTATATATAATATTAATTAAATATTAATATATAATATTATGTTATCTTTAGAATATGACTGCTACATCTCAAATTTATTTAAGTTTGGTACATTAATTTCTTATTTCATATTTAATATGAAACATGAATAGTATGAAGCTTATCTAATATACCATGTATTTTCAGTACTGAATTCATATGACATCATGTGATAATTATTACCACCACTGAAAATCAGAAACTTTTATAAAAAGTGTAATTTTTAAAAGCATTAAAAAAATTATCATTTATATAGAATAGTATTAATAACTGCAGTGACAAATATTTTTTGTTTAAAAAAGTAATTTTGTAAAATATTTTTAGTCATATCAAATAATGAATCAATACAGAAAGTTTTGTTTTAAAAGAATTTAAATTTTTGATGTTCTTGTATGTCCTATTTTTATAAAGAGAATGAAATGGTAAGAATCTTCATATGCTTAGTTACTTGTAATGGTAATGATAATGTTGAAGTTAGTACAATTAAGTTATAGTTCTAACTCTACCATTGTCATTCCTTTTCTTCATATAACACGGAATGGATTTTCTGACAGGCTGAAACCTAGGATGCCAAACATTTTAAAAGCACCAAGTTATTTTTCTTGTAAAGAAAAATAACTTGGTGCTTTTGATATATAACTTGGTCTTATATATAACTTTTGATAATAACTTGGTCTTACAGATATATAAATATTAATATAATTTTAAAGGCAATAAATATGATTTTAGTTAAATTTTTAACAGTAATTTTAAGGCATATTATTATCTGAAAGAGTAAAAGTTATAGCCTAGAGGCAAACGAAATATTAAATCTGCTTCTGATAACAACACTACTCATTTAACTAATTTCTATCTAATTTATAATTAGTATTTGGTAAACTTTTACCCAAGTTTTTAATAAAATTATCAGTTCATCATATGATGCAACACGTATTTTACTTTTGTAAGTAAAATACGTGTAAGTAATAAAATACTTTACTTTTGTAAGTAAGATGTATTTTTTTTTTACTTTTTTAAGTCTTTAGGGGACTTTTTATCAAGCCCATTGTGGGTCAGATACAAGGCAGTCCCAACATATAGAAAATGGACCATCTTCCCAAAAAATTCCTTAAGGTTTTCAACCCAATCAGATTCATTTTTGGGTCTTCCAGAGCAGTAAGTGGTAGACTTTAACTGATTAGCCATCCAGCCTGTTGTTATTCAGTAATGAAAAGCATTTATAGCGATATAACTTTTCTCTCTCTCTACATTATACTTCAAATGTACAATATTATGTATTTGGTATATATTTGGGATGTCTTTAGTGGTAAAAATTAACTTTAGATCATTCGTTTATATACGTTTATGTATTTTATATAGTGATGTGCCGGATCGTTAAAAATGTATATCCGCGGATACGGATCATTAGTGTCTAGATCCGCGGATACAGATACGGATATGGATCTCTACTTTCGTACTCAGTCGGCGGCGGTGCGTGTGACCTTGGACCGATAGTTGACGCTTTGCGTTAGTAACGCGACGTGTTTTGACTTGCACTGCGCGTGTTTTTGTTTATAGTGTGAAAGTGTGCTAAATTAGAATTCACCACAAAGGCAGACAGGATAAAGTAACAAAAGTTGATATAATTTTCCAATTAAGCTATTTCGCGTCTTTATACAGATTCTATTTCGGGGGATTCCAACTTCACGGTGCAAACAGTAGCATGCGAAATTACAGCGATAATAATAGTTCGCTGTATCCAAAGCACGTGTACAATACAGATCCCGATCGNACTGCCTATGGAGTATAACTGTAGTATAGTACCTGGGTGTTTAATAATCTGTTTGTATGCAAGCTCTTGGTGTATTATACAGTAACATCCCGCTTAACGCGGGGGATGCGTTTCTAGACAACAAAGCGCTAAGCGAAACCACATTAAACGAGGTCATTTTAATAGAGTAAATAGGGATAGGGGAACACGCGACCACAAATAAACATATTTTACTATAATTTTAAATTTATTTTTATATTAATTTGCATAATAATAAGTTATATGTTAAATAACATAAATGTTTGCACACAGAAATGTAAAGTTCATTTTTTGTGACGAAGGTCCTGACTTTTCTGAAATTCTTGTTCTTTTGCAATAAAGTCGTGAAGTTTCATTTGTCGCTTTTTTCTTTCCTTAACCCACAACCTTCCACACTTCATTCGTGCACATATCAGTTAATTCTTGCCAAGCGATGTCGATATTTTCTATTGCATTCATGATGTTATATTTTTTCCAAAATTGCACCAAACAAATATAGATTTAAAGAAAATACACTTTTTTTGCCACCTTTTACTGGTTGGTTTGTGTTCGCAAATAATCGTATTATATACGAATGAATGAAATGCCGCGATAATTTAAATCGGCGTAAATTTTGAGCTTTTTTTTAGGCTTCGAGCAGATCGCGTTATATCGAATCAACGTTAAGCGGGGTCTTATTGTATTTGCCAATTGATTACGCCTATGTAAATAGTATGTTTGTGCTAAGAGCTTGCATCTAGAAGTTATATGTTGTGTAATTATAATAATTATTATTATTAGGGAATAATCATATCCAATAATAAGTAATGAAATTCATTAAGATAAAAGATCCGCTAAAAAGTAACGGATACGGATACGGATACGGATCTTTTTTTTCCCTCGGATATCCACGGATACGGATACGGATACGGATATCCGGCACATCACTAATTTTATACAAATTGTTTATAAGTAACTAGTATAAATGTAACTGAATAGCGTACCAAAGAACACAAATGAAATAATACTTACTGCAATACAACTGGTACAAATTACCGATGAAAGTATAATATATAAAGTTAACAATTTGCCTATTTTTGAAATAATTTCGAAATCCATTTCTATCTGAAATATATCATAACACATTCAATAACTACACATGTCCACTTAAATTTATTTCATTCCGACAGATGGCGCGAAGATAAAAGAGAAATACAGTTGCCAGATTTTTGAAATAATTTATTCATATTTAAATTTCTCTTCGAATTTCTTTATTTTATAATAACGCTTAATATAAATTTAAATTGATTAGATTATAGTATTAATTTAAAATGTTATATATGTTTGGCCTTGTCTTGTCTTATCTTATCTTGTCATAGAGTTCATATGGCGATTTCAGCCTCGTCAGATGTTCTCCGATTCGCCGGCACCTGGTGTTTAGTTCAGGCGACCCATGTGTCTGTTATATTGTTCTATTTAGAAAATAACCATTTTTTAAATATTGAAATAAGATTGGTAGTTAAGGCGCCCTCTTACTCTCACAGAATGCCGAAACTTCTAGGAGAACATTTATTATTTCAGGCAAATTTCAAGGTCATTGGGAGTAAATTTACTTATATTATTTAAAAAATTCGTATAAAATCAAATTTTTATAATAGAAATACGAAAAAAATAATGCTAGTATGCAAGTATGTGTAGTTTTATTTGGTATATTTTTTATCTGCTTGTATTTTGTATTTTTTCTCAAAAAAATTCGTATTTTCTTGCTTACGTTAATGACTTGTAAATTAATTGCAATTTTATCTAATTTAATTTAATTTTAAGTCTAATGAATGTACTATTTGATAGTATACTATTAATTTTTTATTATATTTAAGTATTAGTATATTACAGTAAGACCCCGCTTAATGCGGGGATGAGTTCCTAGACGACAAAGCGCTAAACGAAAACAGCGTTAAACGAGGTTATTTTAACATAGAGTAAATAGGAATAGGGGAACACGCGACCGAAAATTGAAAAAAAAATTTACTTTAATTTTAAGTTATTTTTATATTAATTTCTATAATAATATATGTTAAATAACACATAAACATATGCACAAAGAAATGTATAATAATATATTAATTAGTTCATTTTTTCTACATTAATAGTTCATTTTTGTGACGAAGGTCCTGACTTTTTTTTCTTTCTTGTTTCTTTTTGCAATAAAGTCGTAAAGTTTCATTTGTCGCGTTTTTCTTTCCTTAAGCAAATGTCGGTAGCGGAAGATGGCATTCAAAACGTCTCTTTTTACTTTTGCACTCCTTTCAAAATCTGGATCATTCGCTACAATTTAATCAACGATTTCGGTTATCGTTACCAAACTTTTACTAAGGAAATCTGTACAGAAATTTTTTGGGTTCTTCGTTTTCAGAATCACTATTTTCCAGTTCTACACGGATTCCTTGTTCTGCCAGTTCTTGAAGGTCGTCGTTGATAAGATTCTCCCCAGAAACCCGCGGTAACTCAATATCCTGTTCGTAGTCCTGCTGTATCGATTAGGTTGAGTTTGATCAACCTAACGATACAGCGATAGGCTCTTCTCGTTAAGAATTCTTGGATACCTTCAGCCATAACTTCTTCAACACTTCGTTCGTGCATTTATCAGTTAATTCTTGCTAAGCGAAGCCGATATTGCTATGGCATCCGTGATGTTATATTTTTTCCAAAATTACACCAAACAAACATAGATTTAAACAAAAACATACACCTTTTTGCCACCTTTTTTTGATTGGTTCGTGTTCGTAAATAATCGTGTTATGTACGAATCAATAAAATGCCGCGATAATGAACTTTTTTATAGGCTTCGAGCAGACGGTGTTATATCGAATCAACGTTAAGCGGGGTCTTACTGTACATTTATTGTAAATTATTTTAATTTTAATTTATTTTGTTAACGGTTCCGTCGTCAAACTATCGAATCGATAGTGCTACCACTTTACGTACACATTTACGTAAATTCTTTCGTATAGATTAGATTTATTATTATATATTGTATATATCTAGCTGTTACCCGCGACTTAGCCCGCGGAGATTTTGCAAGCAAACCCCATTTATATTCAGTATTTCAACAACCACAGTAATTGTTATTTAACACCTACCGCTGAGAATTATGAGAATTGTTGAGAACCAAACGAACTGTTTTCAATTTGATCAATCTTCTGGAACGTTTACAATCGTTCTATAATCGAACGAATATGCAATAACAAATTCGAATTTAAAACGGCTCGAACATTTGGTTAAAAAATCGAAATATCAATATATAAAAATATTTATAACAATGTCTGAAATGTTATCAATTTAATACATCCAAGTACTCAATGAAGACTAAACGTTGTTGAAAACAAACAATCGCATCTAAAATAATACAGTAGAAGCCATTCTTCAGGTTAAACCTTAATCCTCTCCCTCTCCCCCCGCGGGGGAATTTCGAAAAATCCTTTCTTAGTGTGCGTTTTCATGACGCTGGCAGAAAATTGTGCCTGCGTTATCCACTGTTCTGGTAGATTCGAAATCGAATTCTGGAGATCAAATTAAAAATGTTTATATTGTTTCAATTTGTGCCATTAACCACACAAAACATTCCAATATAAGTAAAAAAAAAAAAAAAAAAATGAAACTGCACATAGTTCCTAAGTTTAAGCAGTATTAAATTTAAATAATGTGATCAGGAAAGCCTCGCCGATATCATCGTAACAAAATTCCCCAAGGCAAATCTTGATAATCGAGCAGGAAAAATAACAAATGACCAGAGCCAGCCCTACCATAGGGCGAACGGAGCAGCCGCTCCAGGCGCTAAGTTCTTGGGGTCGCCTCAGTGGTAAAGAAAATTAAAGGGTATAAATTAGGGGCAACCAAGGGGGCGCTATAATAGGATCTCGCCAGTGGCGTAGCGTGAGTGTCAGCCGCCCGGGGCGGAGGAAAATTTCGCCGCCCCCTTATTTAGGTATCTCAATTTAAAAGACTAAAATTCAGTTTCGTCACAGAATAAGTATTGAAAAATTCCGTGCTCATTTCAATCGGTCCGAATCGTAAGTGCGACAAAAATATGAAATGAAATGGTTCAAATTTTTACAAGATATTATTATTATTTATTGTGGAATTTTGCCGCTCCCTAAAAGTGCCGCCCGGGGCGGGCCGCCTCTGCCGCCCCACTACGCTACGCCACTGAACTAGCTGATAGCTAAAGTACAGTACAATAAATGAATGAAATGTCCTTATGTTTAAAAATTAGACATTTATTATAGAAAAATGGGGACTTAAAGATTTTGCGACAAAATTCTTTACAATCTCAGCGTCATTTGCAGTTCTGGCCCGAGGCAAGTTTTAGGATGGAGCGAGATCCAGTGACGTAGCGTAAGGGGAGCGGCAGGGATGGCCCGCCCCGGGCAGAACTTTTAGGGGGCGGCAAAATTCCACAATAAATAATAATAATATCTTGTAAAAATTTGAACAATTTTATTTCATATTTTCGTCGCACCTACGATTCGGACCGATTGAAATGAGCACGGAATAGTGTTACCACCCTGAGAGTTCGGGAATCGACTCACTGTCCGGGTGAACTATTAATTTTGTCCGGTAATATCGTGCGCAACCTGTCGACCGTTTTTTTTTGTTTTTTGTTTGTTTTTTTTTTTGCTTGTACGATTCGTATTCATACACATCTCCAATATCTAATAGAGCTAAGTCATCTAGGTTACTTACGTTACTCCTACCAAGTTTCCCTAGTCCCTAACTGTAACTGATTTAGAACCTGCATGCACTGCACATTATTCTTCGCATTTCAAAATGACACTACGCACGCGTCAGGAACTTCTGTTCGAACAAACCTCACCGCAGGGGCGCCGCTAGCAGTTTGAACGCCCGCGTGCAATACCGATTATGCCGCCCCCTGTTTAACTACAACTACCTGCGCTGAGTTTGCCAGAAAGGCTCTTTAGAGTTGTCTCATAAGGGTGAGAAAAAAGAAAAGAAATACTTTACAAAGAAAATCTATTTATTATTACTAAGTTATTTTTGTTTACTTAAGTGTAAAACCATATAAATATCTATATATATATAAATGAATGTATGTCTGTCTGTCTGTCTGTTCGTCTGTCTGTCCTTCATGCATTACCACACCGTTTATCCGATTGCCATGAAACTTTGGGAAGTTTTTTAATACACTCCCGCGAAGGTTTTTGGCATAGTATATTTATCCTACGATAGATGGCACGCGTTTATACGAGCATTCGGCACTGTGTGTTCGATCGATTTCAAATTGTGAAGACCATTCCCCCCCTCCAAAAAATATCTGTGTATATGCATTTATTATTTAGGGATATTTGTAATAATTTTTGTTTAATCACTTTATTTCATATTGTTTTGCTAATTACGTAATCGCTCGAACTTTGTTAAAACCTTAATTGTATCCCGAACAACAACCCAAGTTGTAGAAGGAAATTCGCCTATTTTACCGATCTAGGGATCCCCCTTTTCCAAATTTTAATATCGACTCAAAATAATTTAAAAAGACAAATTACAATAAAACGGTTTATTATCCAACTATGAGAAATTTCACAACACGCCAAGGAAGAGAGGAAGGAGCAATTAAATAATCAAAATTATAAAGGATTAAAAAATATATACGTATATAAAAATGGGGAATATAGCACTTCTAACAATCTCTGCGAGTATGTGGGCTAAATTTAAAGAAACCGTGCTTCTCACATGGACAACTGTATGTGGCCAACTCACGCGTCGGAAAAACTTCTGATTTATTCGTGTACACACCAGACGGATAAACAAAAAATATCGTGTATCCACAAAGCACTCCAATAAATAAATAAAATTGAAACGACACTTTGAAATGTTTTCCCGATGAAAATGAATAATAGTAAGTTTCAATAAAAATGATAAAATGTAAACTTAAGTTTATCATAACGAGTTTGCTTGAATTTCGTTTCTTCTGAGATCGCAGCAATGCGCGACGGGTAAGCTAGTTTATCTATAAAAATTGAATTTTTCTTGTCTTTATGTTTGCGAAATCTGCTATCAATTTTCATGTATCCAAGCTGTCTAAGATTTCGTGTTCAATTGAAACTATAGCTAAATTACTTAATCTTTGCTGGTGCGTTGTTGATCTTGAATAGTTTTTTTTTTTTATAATTTTAACTTTGAAGAGGATCTTTCACCAAATGCAACTG